TTGGGCAAATAATATTAACCACTTTCTCTCTTCAGGATCAGTCCCACTCGCCCTCAAAACCGCGGTCACCACCGCCCTCCTGAAAATTATACCCTCGATCCCTCCAACCACGATCACGACCGCGCAATCTGTGACCAGTGCACCCTCTGCATTCCCGTCCTCCCCTCATTCTCCACCAACTCTCCTCCCATCATCCACCTCAGTGGAACAGCATTCGTTTCGCTCAAGTCCTACCTTTCAAACCGCCAGCACTGCTGCAAATGGCTTTTCTTGGTGCTTAATCCTTGGACCCTTCCGCTCCTCATCTATAAGTTCCCTCTCGGTGCTGTCGTCCGCAAACACGGGCTCGTCGACGTGGTTGACACTCAACACTACTTGTCCTCCTCCAGCTGTGACCACCCCCGACCCCCAGTCCCCGGTGTGCTGTCAGATTGTCCTACGGACATCAGCAGATGGATGAGCACAAATTTCCTGCAGATAAGCCTCAGTAAGACGGAAGCCATAATCTTTGGCTCCCGCCGCCGTCTTCTGTCCCACGATTCCGAATTCCTCAACCTACCGACCTGTCCTTAAAGCTCTCTGAACCCGAGCGCAACCTTGTCGTCAGGTTCGATCCGCAGTTATCTTTCCATTCCTTGTCTCCACCCCTCCCCAATCTCTCTATCTTCCTCTTTCCCCACAGCAGTAGACGCTGTCTTTTGTCTATTGGGTCCGATCTACTCTGCGTCCCCCGAATCCTCCGCTCCGACATCGGCCGCCGTGCCTCAGCAGCTGCGACCCGAAATTTTTGAACTCCCTCCCTCAACACCTTGGCCTCGCCCCCTTATTCCCCCACTTGAGGACGCACCTGAAGACTTTCCTTTTCGACTGCGCCTACATTCACCTTCCCACTCCCCACGGCTCAGCCTCGGGCTCCGTCCTCGTTAACCACAGAGAAGATGCCAGTGTTGGAGGGCGCCATATAACAGCAAGTTATTGCAATTGTAGTTGTTGTTGTTCTGAGGGTTGCCATCTTGGTAAAGGTCCCTGCGTGGGAGGGATTGAGGGAGGCGGCGGTCATCTTGGTCAAGGAGAAGGGAGCCGGTCAGTGTATGTGGGAAGCATTGAATACAAATAAAGTTTTATTAAGTGGGGAGTGTGTTCCCTGAGACGCTTAGGCGGGAGGGGGATCTAACCATCTTAACGTGGAACGTAACGTGGATCTTACCATCTTCTCTCTTTTATCTCCTCTCTCATCGTTCTTATTACTCTCCCTTCCGTTTCTCTCTCTCCTTCTATTCCGTTTCTCTGCAATCCTTTGCATCTCACTCCTCTTCTCTCTCTCACTCTCTCTCTCGCTCTCTCTTTCTAGCTCTCTCTAACTCTCTCTCACTCCCATTCCTGGTCTCCCCGTCTCCCTTTCTCTCTCTCTCTCTCTCCCTTTCTCTCCTCTTTATCCTCTTGATAACGTGATGTGGCGCTATACGAAATGGCAGGATTATTACACAATATGTTAACAAACTGGCATTTAAACAATTGATGAGGACAAACGTGTCATCAATTTGACTCGAAAAGTGTCTGTGTCTCTCTTTGTATCTGTGTCTGTGTCTCTCTGTGTGTCTTTACCTGAGTCTGTGTCTCTCTATGTGTCTGTACCTGCGTTTGTGTCTCTCTTTGTTTCTGTGTCTGTGTCTGTCTCTCTCGGTGTGGCTGTTCCTGTGTATGTGTCTCTCAATATCTGTTCCTCAGTGTGTGTCTCTGTGTGGTATGTATCTGTGTCAGTTTCTCTTTGTGTCTCTGTATCTGTGTGTGTGTCTGTATGTCTGTACCTGTGCTTATGTCTCTCTGTGTATCTATACCTCTGTGTGTCTCTCTGTGTATCTGTACTTTTTTCTGTGAATCTCTGTGAGTCTGTATCTATGTTTCTCTATGTGTTTCTACCTGTGTCTTTGTCTCTCTATGTGTCTGTAGACGTGTCTGTGTCAATCTGCGTGTCTGTACATGAGTTTGTGTGTCTGTGTGTGTCTGTACCAATGTGTGTGTCTCTCTTTCTCTCTGCCTGTGTCTGTCTCTCTATCTCTCTCTCTCTCTCAGGGGCTGGTCGGCCCTTCCAGGTCGTGCCGATGAGTCAGGCCGAGCTATGGTGCCATCAGCAGTGCGAGCCCTGGGACACTGTGGACAATCCTGGCTCAGGAACCAGGACAGGAATCCATCACAGAGGCCTCGCTCCATTCCTACATTCCTTGCCAAGCTGCAGATCAAGTCCACTCAGAACCTGTTCAACTGCCCTCAAGGAGGATAAGGGGTTTTACGAAGACTACTGTCGGATGTTACACAGTACAGTAAAGTGCTGCAGCAGGTTTATATTTCTTTATTTCAACACACGGTAACTACAGTAATAATAATAATAATCCTTGCATTTGACACAGCGCTTTTCACATCGGGAAGACGTCCCAAAGCGCTTCACTGAACACACTGTAAAGTGAATTGACTGTATATTTGTGGGCGAAAGCGGCAACCAATTGCGCACAGCAATGTCACATAAACAATCGTTGATTGAAAATGACCAATTTATTATTGTTTTGGTATTATAATTAATGATATTCATACAATTCACAACAGCCATCTGGAGTGATCTTCCAACATATGATTTATCTGTTGACAATATTCTTGAGTATTGGTCAAAGTTTTCCTTGATAACAGTGTAGGGAGAGCAATAAAAGTTAATAATTATTACAATCGATCTGGTCCTTCTCGGTCTTGAAACACATTTACAAGCTGTTTATTGACTTACTGGAAACAAGGTGTGGTCTGGTATATCACTGCTGGGGCAGTGTTTCTCAGCTGGTCCTTATTTATTATGTAACAGCAATAGGAGAAGCTGTTCTGTGGAGCTGCCCGGTTTATGCCAAACATGTCACCTTGGGACCAGTTCAGCTTCAAGCTGAACCCGCTTACCTCGCACATTCATTGGGTAAAGGCACATTCAAAGACAAATTGCTTGTGACGGTCGAGAGGGAGGGAAGAAAGTGAAGGGTTAAAGGTAAGAATACAGGAGCTGGGAGCAAATTGACCTTCTCCGTGTCCCCCACCCGGTACAGCCCACCATCGACAATAGAGCCTTCATCCGCTCTACCACCACTATCTGCAAATCTATGACACAGTCACTTCACATCGCTACTTTCCTTGACTTCTTCAAGACCTAGCTCAATACACTCCTCTTCGAACAAACAAGCTTTCGGCCAACTTCCTAACCCAACGCTCACTGCCCTCAATCCCTCCTGATCCCACCACCAGTTCGGGTCCAAATGCCGGACTGTTCAGTGCCTTGGAACGTCCTCCTGACATGAAACGCACCGGTTCTATCTCATTTTTGTATCAACATCATTGCTTAATAAATTGCCTGAGTCAGTAATGATCTCTCTTCTCCGTATTATTTGCACCGATATGGCGGAAGAGGGGATGGATTTTAGGGGGAGCTTGCTGTCGGTCACATAAATTTCCTGCACTGAGAGTCTCTGGTTACACCCTCACCTTCCCTGGATTATCCTCATTCCCACAGGGAAAGCTGCACATGACTGACACTCAGGTTAATGGTTGCCAGACATGGGAGGGTGGAGGAGGAGCTAAGGTAGGGAATGGGCCAAACCAGGAGATCTTTAAATGTTGACAAGTATCCTGAAGAGGCCCAGCTGGGGATGGTGGTCAGTGGAGCTGAGCTGGGTTGTGATGACTGGTTGACGCTGGTCTGGAGAGTGAAACAAAATGCAACACATTTATAAGCTGTTTAGTGACTTACTGGACACCAGTTGTGGTCTGTTTTAACTCCTGTTTAGTCAGAGTTTCTCAGCCCGTCCTGATTTATTGTGTATCAAGAATAAGATAAGCTGTTCTGTGGAGCTGCCTGGTTTATGCCAAATATGTCACCTTGGGACCAGTTCAGCTTTTTTTTGTAGGAAGCAAGTGACAGAGAGGTATAAAGTGTGGTGTGGGGTTTGGGAGGGTGTGGCGCCGGTGAAGGGAAAAGAGACAAGTGAAGGATAAAACTGCGAGTGTAAATCAAAATTATGATTTTATTAAAATATCATTGTGGATCCTGGTTTATTGCGGAAGGAGGAGGGAGTGTGTCGCGTGGCGGGAGGGCAGATATTCTGGAGGAAGGGGATATTGTGTGGGGGGATGGGAGATTGTGTGGGGCGAGGGGAGATTGTGAGGTGAGGGAGGAAATTGTGTGGGGTGATGGAAGATTGTGTGCGGGGATGGGCTAGATTCTCTGAGGGGAAATTGCATGGGGGGAGGAGAGAGATTGTGTGGGGGGAGGGGCGAGATTGTGTGACGGGAGTTTGTGGGCTGAGTGGAGAGATTGTGAGGTGAGAGGTGTAATGAACGGGGATCGCTGAGTTAGATGTGGGAATGGGAAGATCTTCTAAAAGTTTTGATTAATCAGAAGTTATTAATCAGGATAGAAATGCCCAGGAGGCCCCTCCTTGACAGGGAATGTCCAAGTGTTTAGGAGAGGGATCAGGATTATTGCTCTCTGTTTCTATTCCTTGTTCCATATTCACTGGGATTCTAATCTACTCTCTCTGTCTCCTCGCCGACATTGGAACTCGTCTTTGGTGAACTTTGGTCCATTTCAACAGCAAACATTTCTTTGGTCAATATCCTGGGCGTTACTAACAATCCTGGCTCCAGACGTGAAGCCATGTGAATCAGATTGAAGTGAACTCTGTCACAGGGCGGGATACACACAGCACAGATACACTGAGACTGAAGCAGTTTGGAACAGAAAGACTCCGGGTGATCAGAGCGTCTGGACATCATGTCCAGCGTCTGAACGAGGAGCTAAACTGCGCCATTTGTCTTGAATTCTTTAAGGATCCTGTTTGCCTCGATTGTGGCCACACATTTTGTCACTACTGTATCACGCGGAGCTGGGAAAAGCAGGGAAAACCTGCTGTGCGGAATATTGCCAAGTTATTGCTCAGAAGAACCTCAGGATTAATCGGTCCTTGGCCAAAATGGTGGACAAAGCTCGAGAATTCAGTCTGGACGCGACACAGACAGCGGGTAAACGTCAGTGTGAGAAACACCGGGAGGAACTGAAGATGTTCTGTGAAACTGACAAGAAATTGATCTGTTCCATTTGCAGAGATGTGAAAAAACACCGAGGTCACAGCTTCCTGCCCATTGACGAAGCTGCTGAAATCTACAAGGTAATGATGCCCTCAAGAGGGATTCATTCTATTGCCCCGTCATGTATTCACCTCAATCTTTCCTTCTTTGCGTTTATTCCAGGATCAAGTGAAATCCTCCTTAGCTTCTCTCACACAGAGGAAGGAAACTGCTCTACAAACCGAAGCTAAACAGAGAGAAAATATTTCAAAAGTTAAGGTGAGTTGTGTCGGGGCTGAAGGCTGGGTTGTCAATGTGTATCTGGTCACGGTATGTACACGGTGTGATGTCTCTGTATCTCTGGTTACCGTGTGTACACGGTGTGATATCTCTGTGTCTCTGGTTACTGTGTGTATACGGTGTGATGTCTCAGTGTAACTGGTTACTGTGTGTACACGGTGTGATGTCTCAGTGTCTCTGGTTACTGTGTGTAATGGTTGGATGTCTGACATTTGCAGGAAAAGGTGAACAGTCTACAGACCCACATCACGGCTGAGTTTGCTAAAATGCACCAAAGTCTGACTGACAGAGAACAGCGAGTGATGCGAGATCTCAGACAGCGAGAGCAGGAGATTTTAAACCGAATGGAGACAAATCTGCGAGAGATTCAGGGCAAATTATATTCTGTTCAGCAAGAAATCTCCGACTTACAGAGGCAGATGGGAAAAGACACTCTCACCTTCCTGCAGGTAAAGAGATGACATTATATTGTAGTTCTGCATTACAATGTATTGTGGAACTGTAGGCCAGTTAGTCTCACATCAGCGATAGGATAAAATTTAGAATCGTTGATTAAGCATGTGGGAGTGCGATATTTAGGGGAACACAATATAGATTTGCGGATGACACAAAACTAGGAGGAAGTGTCAAAACAGAGAAGAATATTTAAAAAATGCAGCGAGACATAGATAGGTTAGGTGATAGGGAAGGTAGATGAAGTATAACGTAGGGAAGTGCGAAGTCATCCAACTCGGTAGCAAAATCAGTAGAACAGCTTATTTTTCAGATCGGGTGAGATTGGAAAGTGTTAGTCTCCTGAGGGACTTGGGTTGTCCTTGTATATCAATCACAGAAAGTTAGTCTGCAGGTGCTGCAAGCAATTAGGAAGGCGAACGATATGTCAGCGTTCATCATGAAAGGATTAGAGGAAAATAATTGGGAAGTCTTGCTGCAACTGTATAGGGCCCTGGTGAGAGCACACCTGGAATACTGTGACCAGCTTTGTTCTCCTCATTTAAGAAAGGACGTATTTTCCTTGGAGTGGGTGCAGCGTAGATTTATTAGGTTAGTGCCAGGGATGAAGGAGATGAGTTACGAGGATAGGCTGACCAATTTGGGCCAATATTCTCTGGAATATGGAAGAACTAGAAGGGATCTTATTGAAACCTGTAAGATCATCAAAGGGCATGATAGAATAGATAGTGGGAGATTGTTTCCCCNTTTTTGGCGAAACTAAAACCAGGGATCACAAACTTTAAATCAGTGGACATTTCTTTCGCACTAAGTTGAGGAAGAGCTTCTTCACTCAAAGGGTGGTGAATGTATCTAACTCACTACCCCAAAGGGCTGTTGACGCTCAGTCCTTGAAGTTATTCAAGACTGAGATATATATATTTCATATTACTAAAGGGATTAAAGGATATGGGGATAAGGCAGGTTCAGGTTACTAGCTGGAGTTAGATTAGAAGATCAGCCATGATTGAAAGCGGGGCAGGCTCGAAGGGTCGAATGGCCTACTCCTGCTCCTACATATTATGTTTTGTTATGTTATGTTAGTTCAGTCACAGTTACACTCAGTTTGTAGCAGACAATCTAATTGTGATTGCAAAAGAGATCATTGATTAAAACTGGGATGTGAGAGACTCTGTGCACATGAAATTTGTTGTTGCTGTGGTTGTCTCAGTGTGAGCTGACATCTATATATGTTTGATTTCATTAGGAGGAAGCTGCTGGCAACAGAAGGTATGAAATTATCTTTACCTTGTCTTTTATCGTGCAGTACTTTACCTTGTCTTTTATCGTGCAGTGGTTAGAGCAATCGCTTTACAAGTGAGAGACCTGAGTTCAATTACAGGCAGGGCGAAACCTTGGGCAAGTTTCCTTACTCCACACGCCTAATAATAATCCTCCAAAAAAAAAAAAATGGTCATTTTCAATCTACGATTGTTTGTGGGACATTGCTGTGCGCAATTGGCTGCCGCGTTCGCCCACAAATATACAGTCAATTCACTTTACAGTGTGTTCTGTGAAGCGCTGTGGGACATGGAAAGCGCTATATCAAGTGCAAGGATTTTTATTATTATTTGCCAAATATCCCAAAATTCAATCCAGAAACCAACCACAAGGTGCAGTTTCACTTTGTAATGTGACCATCGTTTATTTCAGGGTCAGTGACGAGGGATTTGATCTGTCAGTGTGTGAGGCTGAGCTGCCTGTGGGGATATACAATGGGCCTCTACAGTACACAACATGGAGATTGATGATACACGGCATCAGCCCAGGTAAATGTCTTCCATTCACACCCTGAAGCCGTGTCAACAGCATTATATTCGCCGAAACTTAACCACACTCTCCCTCAGACACAGACACACACACACAGCACAAACACAACACCCTCACACTCACACACAAACCTCTCACACTCACAACCCTTTCAAAAACACAAACAACAAACACACAACATTCACTAACACAACCCTCACTCACGCAACTCACACACATCCAACCCAGACACATGTCGCAGACACAACCCTCACACACTCGCCTCGCTCACAACTCACACATGCACACACACAGCAAATCTCAGGTACACAGCTCACACACACCACTTACACACACACCTCACAAACACACCCTCACACATACTTCTCTCACACACATACACCCCTCACACCCCTCAAACACTCACTTCTTACACACACCTAACTCATCACACACACATCTGTGACACACAACTCATACTGTCAACCACGCACACAACTCATCAGACTCCTCAAACACACACCTCACACAAACCTCTCACACAACAATAGTAATAATTCTTGCGTTTCATATTGCGCTTTTCACTTCTTCTCGGCGTCTCAAAGCGCTTCTCAGAATATACTGTAAAGTGAATTGACTGTATATTTTATGGATGAAACGCGGCAGCCAACTGCTCAGAGCAGCGTCCACAAACGGTCCCACAAACAATCGTGGATTGAAGTAACCAATTATTTTTGTTTTAACAAGGCAATTTGTACTTGGCCACAGGCAACTCAGCCTCGCACGATGACATATCAAACCACTCAATCACACAACACAAGCACCCCTCAAGTACACACCTCACACATACACACTGCTTACATTGCACACCTCTCTCAGACACCTCACTCACATACACCTCTTACAAACGCCCCTCACACGCGCAACTTTCAAATACACCAATTATACACATAACCCTCAAAAATACATCACACGCACACCTCTCTCGCACAAACGCTACTCTCATACACTCCATTCACACCGCCTAAAACACACAGCTCGCATGCACCTATTGCACACATATCTATCATCCACAGACCCTCAAACACATCTTTCACACAAGCAACTCACACATACCAGTCACACACACCCGGCATGCAACCACGTCTCAGATGCACACGTCATACACCCTTGTCAGATACACACCACACACACATGACATGCACACCCCTCAAACAAACCCCACACACCCCTCACACACACGCCTCACCCACCACCACCACAAACCTGCATCTGTGAAACACCACTCACATACACTCCACACACAAACATTCACATACTCCCCCCACAAACACTCCTCTCAACAAGACCTCTCACACACCCCTCACATACTCTCCTCACACACATACCCTTACACAGACTGTGACCCTCTGAGCTCGATTGTGTTCCCAGGTGTAGAGGTGTGGAAACACAGTCTGAGCTCCCAGACGTCCCCTCACTCCACCTTGTGCTGTTACTCTCTCTCAGCTCCAGCTTCTCTGACTCTGGATCCTGAAACAGCCCATCCCGACCTCATCCTGTCTGAGGACCTGACCAGCGTGAGAACCGGAGACACATGGCAGAAGATCTCTGAATCCCCGAAGATGTTCAGTAAATATTTCAGTGTCCTGGGGTCTGAGGGCTTCACATCAGGGAGACATTACTGGGAGGTGCTGGTGGCCCACAAGACTGAGTGGACAATGGGATTGGCCAGAGAGTCCGTCAAAAGGAAAGGAAATATCACAGCGTCACCAGACGATGGATTCTGGGCTTTGTGTCTGAATAACGGAAATGAATACAAAGCTCTGACCTCAACTCCCACTCGCCTGCCGTTGAGAGAGAGACCCGGGAAGCTGGGAGTTTACCTGGACTATGAGGGGGGACAGGTGATATTTTACAACGCTGAGAACATGTCTCATCTCCACACTTTCACCCAGACTTTCACTGAGAAACTTTTTCCTTTCTTCAGTCCCGGTTTGAATTATGCCGACAAAAACTGTGATCCACTGAGGATCTGTCGGGTGACAGATTAATGAGGAGGAAATCCTCAGCCATGACCTGTGTTTGGCTATGATGGGCACCAGCTGAACCTTTTATAATCTGTGTCGTTACCCAATAATTATTACACCTTGCACACTGGACCCAAGGCAGATGCCTTTCTCGGGATCCATTGTCTCTCGCTCTCTCTGTCTCACTCTCCCTCTCTTTTTCTCTGTCTGTCTCTCTCTTTCTCTCTCTGTCTCTCACACACGCGCACACACTCTCAATCTCCCACTGTCGCTTTCTCTCTCTCTCTCTCGCCCTCCTTCTCTCACACACATATCCCTCTCAATACAGAAACCACACCACTGTAACAACAAGAACAACTATGACAACAACAATAATAATAATTATTATAATATCAGCAACAATAAAAATAAAAACTGCAGGTGCTACTTTTCACTTCACATCAAGGCGGAGAAGGGATTTGACTAAACAAGCGCTTTGAGGCGTTTTAAAGACGTGAACAGCGCAATATCAAATGCCAGGATTATTATTATTATTAATTGTGAGAACATTGTGGGCATCTACACACTGCAGCACCGCCTTATGGTGAAAGTAACGTGGTAGTGCAGATTTTTATTTCTAATATAAACCCAGAGTAAATCACAACAAATGAATATTTTCCTCAAATCCACAACAGCCACGAGGAGAGATGGAGAAGCAGTGAATTGCTGCCTATGTCTGACCGCTCTCCAGCATTAGATGGTGATAACCGGAAACAGGGACTGAGCAACAAAATTAGTGTCATGGGATTCAATGCGAAACAGTTTATTGACATAAACACATGGAAAGGAATGAAAATGGATTCGTCAATTATAAGCCAACACTGCGGAGAAACTCTGAGTCCCGATCCTCCGTGAAGGAGGAGAATAAATACAGTTTCTTATTGTTGAAAAACTGCGGACAAACTCCGAATTTCTGTCTGTCCAACGGCCGGGGATGTCCTGCCGACATGAGAGGCCTTTACTCCAGGTCGTGTTGTTGCTGTCTCTCTCAAACTCTCTCTCTCTCTCTCTCTCTTTCAAATTCTCTATATCTCTTTCACTCACACTCGCTCTCTCACAATCTCTCCCTCTCTCTGAAATTCTCTCTATCACTCACTCTCCCACACACACACCCTCTCACATTATTTTTCTCACACTCTTTAACTCTCTCTCACTCTCTGACTTGCTCTCGCTCTCTCTCTCTCTCTCTTTGTGTCCCTCGCACACACACGCAAACACTTGCTTTCCATTGTAGCCAGAAAGAGTGAGTGAGAGAGAGACAGTAAAGGAGTGAGTGACCCTGTGAGTTAATGAAGGGCATTGGCGGCCATCTTGGTAAAGGGGGCCGGTATGTGTGCGTGTTGGGGTGTGTGGGGGGGTGGTGTGTTGGTGGGGGCGGTTGTCAGGTAGTGGTGGCCATCTTGGTAAAGGGGGCCGGAGTGTGTGTGTGTTGGGGTGTGTGGGGGGTGGTGTGGTGGTGGGGGCGGCTGTCAGGTGGTGGTGGCCATCTTTGTAAAGGGGGCCGGAGTGTGTGTGTGTTGGGGTGTGTGGGGGTGTGGTGTGTTGCTGGGAGCGGGGTTAAGCTGGTGGTGACTATCTTGGTGAAGGCGGCCGTTGTGTGTGTGTGTTGGGGGCTATGGGGGGTGTGGTGTGGTGATGGGGGCGGTGCTCAGGTGGTGGTGACCATCTTGACGAAGAGGGCCTGTGTGTGTGTTTTTTGGGAGGTGTGGGGGCGGGTTGTGTGGTGGAGGTGGCGGGGGTCACGTGCTTGTGGCCATCTTGGTAAAGGGGGCCGGTGTGTGTTTGTGTTGCGGGCGATGGGGGGATGTGGTGTGTTGGTGGGGGCGGGGGTCAGGTGGTGGTGGCCATCTTGGTAAACGGGACCGGTGTGAGTGTGTGTTGGGGGATGGTGGTGTGTTGTTGGGGCGGGGGTCAGGTGGTGGTGGCCATCTTGTTAAAGGCTATGAGAGCCGGTCAGTGACGTCATGAGTTTGACGAGCGCAGTCTGCCGGCGGCCATCTTGGTAAAGGCGACCGGATATCAGTCAGTGCCGTCATGTGAGAGAAGTCGGAGCTCAAACCGCGAGCAGGTGAGCGGCGGGGACGCTCGGTGATCCCAAGATAACCGAGTTGGAGTGGCGAGCAACGAGGGCCGAGGATTTCGGTGACAGAAGGCGGGCGCCGGAGGCCGCGGGAGGGAAACAACAACAACAACAACTTGCATTTACACAGCGTCCTCCACGCTGGACGGCGTCTCAGAGCATTTCACAGTGACGGATCCCGGGGCCGAGCCAAGGGGCGTGGGGTGGGGAGGGACCAAATGCGAGGTCGAGAATAAAGGTCTCCAGCAGGGCCCTGAAAATGGGAAGAGAGGGTCGAGTCGGAGGCAGTGAGGAAGGGAGTTCCAGAGCCTCGGGGCGAAAAACTCCACCTCGTTCCCCCTCTTTCTGCTCCGCCCACTCTGTCATCGTCTCGGGACGAGAGGGAGGGTGGAAGGGGCCACAGAAGGTCAGGGTGTTCGAGAGAAGGTTAGTGGAAGCGACGGAGGCGGGGTGGCGTTTAGAGGGGCTGACTGAGGGGTTGGGGGGGAGCGAGGGGAGAGGTGGTGGTGCTCAGGATGGAGACAGACGGACGGCCAAACAGCAGCTTTAAAGACTGGATTTGGGGCAGAAATTCCTTTTGCTGTTCTGTAGGGCATTAGGGGGAGAAATGTGCGGTGGTAGTAAGAGACTGTATAGAGGGGGCAAGCGGGGCGTGGGGGAAGGGGCCTTAAGGCGGGAGTGCTGAGGGACTGATGGGGTGTTTGCGTGAGACAGACGGAAAGTCACACAGCAGCTTTGGTGACCGGGTTGGGGTTGAACCAGGAGATCAGCAGCTCAGAGTGTGATAAGGTCAGTAGATAATTTGAGGGCAGACTCCAGCCCCATCATGACCTAGACACAGAGATCAGCACCAAGTAGTGACATGGAATCAATGACATTAACGTTTGACCTCAGCACCGTGTCAGCCTGAGACTGTGTGTCTCTCTCTGTGTGTGTCTGTGTGACTCTATCTCTGTGTTTGGGTGTGTCTCTCACGCTGCGTGCGCACATCCAAACCTCTCCTACCTGCTTACCCCATCGTCCCCAACTCCACTACTCTGGCCAGATGGCTCCGTCCTCCTGTTTGTCTCTCGTACTATCCATTCCACCATCAGTGATCGTGATTTCAGCCACCGAGCCGCGCAATTTTAGATTTCTCTTCACCAATGACATTATCTTGTAATCTCTTTTCCCACCTTCAATTCCCGCCTCGATATTCCGCTTTTCATCATACTTACGATCAGTACCGCAGTCCCTATCCTCAAGACTAGCGGTCAGACTCCACCACAATAAAGAGCCCTGTCACACTATCCCGCTTGAAGGACGCTGTGTAAATGCAACTTTTTCTTGTTGAGTTGCTCCACAGGATCAAGATTAAATCGAAAAACAAGATCAGTTCTACCAACAGTTGATGCAATTACAGCAACACATAATGATATGAAAATAGATATTGTTTTTCCATTCCAGTAAATACGTATAAACTTCCCATGCAAACGATTAAATTGTGTGAGTTTGCTTGTGTGTGTATGTGTGTGTATAACTCACTCACTCCAGAAACATGCACCATCACACCTCATACCATATCGTTGGTTGACGCGAGCCTGGGCTTGTGGAAGCTGAAGTGTGTGTCGGGTTAACTGGAGAATTTAGTAGACTAAAAAGATCAACTCAAAAATGTTACACAACAACAACAAGATTACATTTATTGAGCGCCTTTCACGTCGGGAGGACGTCCCAAGGCACTGTACAGTTGGGTCAGGACCCGAGCATTGGGGGGAAATGGTAAGCGTGAGGGGAGGGAAGGGAGGGAGCGAGAAGGGGGTAGAGAGTCGAGAGTGGAGCTGAAGACACGGTCAAAGAGAAAGGTCTTGAGACCGGCCTTGAAGGAGGAAAGGGAGGAGGCAAGGCGAAGGCACTGGGGGATAGATTTCCAGAGCCTCGTGGCTGAGAGGCTGAAGGCCCGGCGGTTGGGCCGGGGGATGCGGAGCAGTCCGGAGCCAAAGGAACGGAGGGTACGGGCTGATAGGTAGAGGGATAGTAGATCGGAGAGGTAGGAGGGAGCAAGGCCGTGCATGGCCTTGTAGGTGAGGACGAGGATCTTGAATTCGATCCTCTGCGGTATGGGAGCCAGAGGAGGTGAGCGAGGATGGAAGTGATGTGGTCACGAAGCCTGGTGCGGGACAGTACACGAGCTGCTGAGTTCTGAATGACCTGCAGTGTGGAGGGAGGTGCCGGGAAGGCCGGCGAGGAGAGAGTTCCCATAGTCCAGTCTTCAGGTGATAAATGCGTGGACCAGAGTTTCAGCAGCGTGAGGGGTGAGGTATTGCCGTAGTCTGGTGACATTCCGGAGGTGATGGAAGGCGGTGCCAGTTGTGGCGCGGATATGAGGGAGAAAGGACAGCTCAGGGTCCAACAGAACCCCGAGGTTCCTGATGGCTTTGAGAGGTGGAGAGTGCAGCCTTGGATGCCGATGCTGTCAGCGCCTGAGCTGCGGAGGCGCTGACGAGAGCCAATCAGGAGGGCCTCAGTTTTGCGCACATTGAGCTGAAGAAACTTGTCTCTCGTCCAGGACTCGATGTCGGACAGACAGCTGTCAGGACATCGGGGGTCGTTGAGTTGAGGGCAGCGGATGAAAGATAGAGGTGGGTGCCATCCGCATACATGTGGAAGTTAACCCCATGTCTGCGGATGATGCCACCACATGGGGAGCATATAGAGGATGAAGATGAGGGGACCGAGGATAGAGCCCTGAAGGACATCAAACGAGATATTGCGGGGGCCGGAGGAAAAATCTTTCGTGGAGGCAAAGTGAAGACGGTGGGAGAGGTACGACCTAAACCATTCAAGGACAGGGGCTTGCAGGTTGAGTTGGGACGCCAAGCGGTGGTGGAGGATAGCATGGTCGACCGTCTCGAATGCTGCCGATAGGTCGAGGAGGACGAGGAGGCAGAGAGAGCCCTGGTCGCAAATGGTCAGGATGTCATTGGTGACCTTGACCAGGGCAGTTTCTGTGCTAAAGGCAGCACCGAAACCCGACTGAAGGGGCTCGAATAATGAATGGGTGGAGAGGAAAGAGTGCAGCTGTGAGGCGACAACTCGTTCCAGGACCTTGGAA